AGACTAGAGAAATGCATATATAGAAACAATGTTCATACAAACGATCACGAAACTCAGTTTTCTTCCCGGTCCAGAAATGAAATCAAATAGAAGTGAAATCAATCGAACAACTTTGCAAAGCACAAGAGGGTGAGCCAGGTGGTGCCACGATGGTGCAATTGTAGGATTTTCAGAAGTGGCAGATTCCAAGCTATATTGGTTTCTTCACGCCAGCTGTAATTTGCAGTTGGATGGACTGATTGCTCGTAATGTACCTGGTCAAAAGTCTCTTTTTGGCTCAGTTCTAGACCCAGTCGCCGATAAATTGCTGATTAGCGTGATGTTCATCACAATGAGTTGCGCCAGCCTCATTCCATGTATGTTGCCATGTGATAGAACTCACGAAGTGATTAACATGATCATAGGTGATTACATTTACCAGGGCCACTTACCACAGTTGTTCTGGTGCGAGATGTATGTCTACTTTTGGGTGGACTTTACAAAAGATATCGTCTGATGGAGCCTCCATTGACATTGCAACGGTATTTTAACCCGGAAGTATCGTCTATGCAGGTTATTCCCAGTCGAGTGAGCAAGGCAAGATCATGGTCAAGTATCGGTTGTTACCCATCCTATCTGTGTTTGTTTAGATAAATACTGTCCTGCAATTATCAGTAATAGCAGGTTCCTTGGCGATACCTGTGTTCCATTTAGGTGAACTTAGCTCACAATTGGCTTATGGGCTATGGTGAGTGTCAAATTAACATTTTCCAAGAATGCCTTTTGTACTTTTTATAGTTGGATCACAGCATTCACTACAATCTGCTCTGGTGTGCAATACGCCAGCGGTCAAGCGTTACGAAAGTTATAATACTATTCGCTTTTTTTCTTCACGTTGTAGTTTTCTTGACTATTCTGCAATTTTTTATTTGGTCACCTTTGTAAACGTTGTTTAAGGTGTAGAGCCTAGTCGCTAGTGTTTACACATAAATCATGTTTGTGTTCGCAGCTTTTCACGGGCAGTTTCTAATTCTGTGTTTGTGGCATGATTAGTTTTTTACATTGTTCCACCGACTGATCGGGCAGCATCCCGTAGCTTGAAAATTGGTGCAATTCTGTATTTTATTAAAGCTATTTATAAAGCCTCAAAGGAATGTTAGACATGTGTATTATTTCACTGTTCGTCAATGCAACATGACCGTTTTAACATGATTATATAAACTTAAGCACAACTTTTGGCCTAGAACATGGCGGACATTATTAGACGTTATTACAGTCTGGCATGTACTCCACCACTTATTAGTATTGTTTCACCAGTGATATACTTTGCGTCATCAGATACAAGAAATGCTACTGCTCCAGCGCATTCCTCCGCAAGTCCGAGACGCCTTAAAGGAACCTAAAGTTAACAGTTTATTTTTCTATTCAAAATTGGGAGAAAAGGCTTGTCCCCTCAATTGAAAGAGTCGAAAGAAAACCTTACCTCCAGTGCATCAACCATCTCCCTTTCGCCTTCTTCGCCTCTACCATCCCAAAGCTAAATGAATCTAGGTTATGTTGTCTGTCTTCGCCCAGAGCTAGCAAAGGCGAAGCATTAGGCAAATGCAAGAATTACTGACGATCGTAACACCGTTCATTGTGGCAACATCTCCCTACATATAAATTATTTTTGTAACTCTAAAAAGTAGGCATGGTTACGGTTCCGGTTTTTCCCTAATCTTTATAGGTGTAGAATTTTTGAATTAATTCATAGAGTGATGTAATGTAGAGGAAGATTAGAAAAAACACCTGATAAAATGCTCCTCAAAATTCTTATACGGTAGAATTCATATAATTCTTATACACTGGATTAACTTGTGTAATTTTCTTCTTTGAGATAGCGTACCCAACAGTAATACCCCACATAAGAGCTTGGCCGCCATATCCTGCAGATGTATGCTGTGTGGTGATTCAGTGTTTAAGAATCTTTGTCGTCCGTCCAGCGTGGACACATACAACTGAATGCCCGTATTATAAGCAACGGCATCTGCCATCCAGATGTTCCTGGAGACCATGTTTCTGGTCTGATGCCGTTCTTTTAATACTTGCAGCTTTGTCTTTGGGTTAAACCCCGAGAACGGGCATTCAGTTGTATGTGTCCACGCTGGACAGACGATAAAGATTCTTAAACACTGAACCACCACACAGCACAATTCCTTTTACCGACACCTCTGCTCTTCCCTTGAGGTTATCTCTTGAAAGAAGCATTTTTCAACAGTGCTAAGCGCCTTATTTTGGTGGACTAGTGTTTCGTACACTGCCCAAAATTCAGGGAATTCTTCATCATCTCCCCAAAACCTCGGAAGGC